TTACTTTTTAGTTATCGCTCCGTTTTTGACCGCTAACTCTTATTGCGTTCTTGATATTTTTTTCTTTTCTGTTTTGGTTTCATTTACAGAAAACGCTCGTTTTTGATGTAAGAGGACCTTCGCCATCCGATAAGGGCGGAGCTGCACCTTCCGATAAACCAAAAGTTCTTCGTCACTATTCCATGGTTGAGGGTTGCCCTATAAACATTTTCGGTCGTGACGATGATGAGGATTCATCATTTCTATGTAAGTTATTGTATTTCAATTATGTTTTCTACCACTGCAACAACGGGGTAACAGCGCTTTTCTTTTGTCTTCTCTGCTCTGTAAATAAAAAAGACAATGACTGGCAGTTTTGTTATCCGAACTTCGTCTTGGCGCAATCCCAAGCCTCCATATATGACATCCACGTCGATCTCGTCAGAATTGTAAATGAGATTCGTGCATTTCATGCTGCAAACAGATCCATCAACATGAATACTACATCAACCACCAACACCGTATCAGCAACACCCAACAACCCCACCAGCAATTCTTCATCAAAGCCAACAGAACGACTATCTGATCTGGAGTTGCTGAGATTTTTGTTGAGGAGACATAGTGATGATGTTCAGCGACTTGCAAGCGATACGGTGAGGAGGATGATTGAGAATCAGGAACCTGTTGAAAGATTAAGGATGGCTTTTGATGCTGTCTATGAGAGATGGACGGGTGAAGTTGTTCCAGGCGTTATGGTTTCGCGGATGTGAGTCTTGTTTATTGTTTTTCTGTTTTGTGCTTTGATTACATTACATTTTGTTTTTATCTTTGTTATGATTTGTTTATTTATTCTCTTTTTTGAAATCACCGCGTCTGTGTTTTACAGAAAATCTCTTCGTCATCAGGCTTCTCGAAGTTCATTAAGATCAGTCAGTAGTCGCACCAGCACATCAAAAATGCCACCAGGTGGTCGATCCTCACCAGTCAGATCTCGTTTCGCAAATGCACCACCACCACCATCGACACCAACACACACCCAGATATCAGTGACACTTTCTCAGTCACCGGCTAGTGTTTTAAATCCAGGTTCGAGAATAGCTGGAATGGGAACGGTTGGCAGTGCTGCTGGAACTTTGCTTATGGATAATCAAACGCTTCTGGGTGGGAGTGGAGTTGTTGAGTCGATTAGTGTTGGGATTGGTCCTGAGGAAATGTATAGTTTGGTTTTCAGACCGATTTGTGACGCCAATGTGAGTTTTACGTGTATCTACAATGCCGATGTTTTTTTTGTTCTTTATTTTTGTTGCAGTGTAATCTTGATTCTTATTTTAAAACTCTTTCCGCCTCTATCACAAACAACCAATTTTGCAATGACAGACTGTTCCCGCGGATCATTTGAGCTTGTATATGTTGGAACACCTTATTTCCGCCTCTCGTTTTGAAACTCCCATCTCAACCTCTGCTTCAGCCCACATCCTCCCAGACTACCATCACGAACTTCTTGTTGGATTATTACTGGAGAATAATCAAGGACCCCGTGTGCGACAGCTGATACTGTCGGGTGTCATTCCGGACTCTGTAGCTGTTGCCAGGAAACTTGTTCAGTATGGGAGAAGGTTTGGTAGTGGCGGAGTTAAGAGGAGTCCAAGTGCAGGTTCTGCTACGTCTTCGACTGGTAGTAGACCTTTGGAAATGATATTTGGAAGTGGCAGTGCTGGGAATCGGAGTCGGAGTCAGAGTGTTGAGTCGGTTTCTGGACGGAATAATAGATGGGGTGGGAGTAATACGAGTGATGGGTTTGGAGAGGCTGAATTTCAGTTGGGAGTTGATATGTTGATTAGAATGGGGATGGATGAGGAAGTTGTTGACGCGATGATTTCAGCTGGCAAGGTGAGTATACAGCGTTGCCATTTGTCCTTGATCGTTGGATTAGTTATGGGTGCTCGTCTAACACATTCACGCCTTTTCTAGATTCTCGATGCGCTTAAACATGCAATTACAACACAAGCGTTAAACCTATTTCGTCCATCAACATTTCTGGATCCTACATTAGCTATTGGTGATCGCACACTATTTTTGAATGTGTATCGCGTGTTGGATGAAGCTGGACTTCTTGGTGGTCGCCGCCATGGGGATGACGATGATGATGATGATGACATGATGGACTCATTTGTTGACGCAACGAGTCGTAGATATTTGAGTGTTTATCGCGAATTTTGGGGTGAGGTGGTGGAGATGGAGGGAGTTTGAATCTATAGATAGACGGGCATATTTTTATAGAAGGTCGACAACAGTGTAATTATATTTTGCTTGTCGTTGTGATTATTTGAAATATATATTTACTTTAGAATAAATCATGAAGAAAGAGTTAAGCACGCAATATCGTTGGAATAGACTTTTTTTTGCGTTTGGTGTCTCGGCCAGTCTATCAACACAAATCAGCTTGATCTGTTCATTAAAAAACACTCTCTCCATTAATTGTCACTATACTCAAACATGAGTAATGAAGGAAGGGAACATTTAGGCTTTTCTGTTGCTTGGGGACGGTGGGCAAAATGGGAAGTGAGGAAACGCCGTGTTGAAAATTCTGAAGGGAGGACCTGCCAAGTCAGAAAATCCAGCAACTAATATAACTACAATAAACAACAAGCAACAGATCAAACAAACAAACTTGGCCGAACGATGTCGCAGGGTCTGCAAACCAATCCATCCACTCCTGGTGGCGACTCAATAGCAACGCTCGAATCTCAATCTTCATCGTTCCTCACAGTCCCAACCCGTCCTCTAATCAGCATCGGATGTTTCGTCCCAGTTCAAAAGGGTACAAACCCAGAAACAAACCAACCCATCTACCACAAGGCCGAAATCCTCTCCATCAAAAACGCAGATTCTGGATTGGAAAAGGCTGAGTTCTATGTTCACTATGATGGATTCAACAAACGATTGGATGAGTGGGTTTCATTCCCACGACTGAAAATTGAGGGTGTTGAATGGCCAAAGAATAAGAAATCTCAGACTGCGCATAAGGGATCTGGGGATAAAGGCAAAGGAGGGGCTGCTGCTGGTGGATCGGGAACTGTTGCAAAGGGAAGGAATACCTCGACAAAGTTGAAGGCTGCTGGTTCGAATGTGAAGGCGAAGGGTAAAGGTTCTGATCCTGGAACTCCTGAACCAATGTCGAAAGGTGGAAACAAGAAACGAAAGAGACAGTCGACATCGTCGTTGTTGAGGGATGACAGTTTGGTTTCGACTCCTTCGTTTTCTGAATTGAGTGGTTCACAGATGGTGGATGATGATGCTGTTCCTGTGAAGGGCAAAGGCAAGGGGAAAGGAAAAGGAAAGGGCAAAGGGAAGGGGAAAGGAAAAGCAAAGGGCGCCAGTAAAATGAAGGGAGGAGAGGAGGATCAAAGTGGTGATTTGGATGGCATGGATATTGATGAAGAGGGCGGAGGAGTGGGTGATGGCACTGAACCACAAATCTTGGAACTGGACGAAAACGGAAACCCACTCGAACCGGCCGGCTTCTCGAAAGAAAAGGAGATTGAAAAACTTCGAACGTCAGGGTCGATGACACAAAGTCACGCCGAAATCGCTCGAGTCAAAAACATCAACACCATCGTCATGGGGAAAAACGAAGTCGAAACCTGGTATTTCTCTCCTTACCCCGAAGAATTCACCAAAGTCGACAAGGTTCACATCTGTGAGTTTTGTTTGGAACCATTTGGATCCATTCGCGCATTTGAACGCCATCGAATGAAATGCACGATTCGACACCCACCTGGAAACGAAATCTATCGCAAGGATCATATCTCGTTCTTTGAGATTGACGGTCGCAAACAACGAAAGTATACACGCAACCTATGTCTTCTCAGTAAACTTTTCCTGGATCACAAAACACTTTATTACGATGTCGACCCTTTCTTGTTTTATATCATGACGGCCAGCGATAACACCGGATGTCACTTGTTGGGATACTTTTCCAAAGAAAAACAATCGGCGGAGGAGTACAACGTTGCGTGTATTTTAACCTTGCCGCAACATCAACGAATGGGATACGGGAAAATGCTCATTGCCTTTTCCTATGAGCTTTCCAAAATTGAAAAGAAAGCTGGGTCTCCTGAGAAGCCGCTTTCCGATTTGGGATTGTTGTCTTATCGGTCGTATTGGTCCGACACCATTGTTGAACAATTGTACAAGTATAAGGGGGATATTACCGTGGCGGAACTGAGCGAGGCTACTAGTATCACCGTGGATGATATTATGCATACCATGCAGGCTTTGGATTTGATCAAGTATTATAAGGGTCAGTTTATTCTTTGTTTGAGTCAGAAGAATGTGGAGTATCATGAGAAGAATTTGAAAAAGAAGAGGATTATTATTGACCCCGTAAGTTGAAAATCGGCTTTTGGAAACGATTGATTCTTGAAGCGTAGATTTCTCACATAAAACGTTCCCACCATTCCAAACCTATTTATTAAAAACACGTCTTCATACCATCGTCACTTCAGGCATGCATTGACTGGACGCCACCAAAGTTCCAACAACACCAGCTGAGATATCTCTAAATGACATTAGCAACCATATCTAAAACCATCAAGCTCAACCCAGACATAGTGGGTCTTCTTCGATTGAAAATCAACACATACAATGTTGGGAAGACAATCAGAGAATATGTAAATAAATGCATACCTTTTTTTATTTGAATCTTGGAACTTTTTTTTCTTGTTTTGTTGGTGAGAGATGGCCGAAATTGAACTTTGCAGATTTGTCCTCGTAATGCGAGTGCTTGTTCCAAGGAGAACTGGCCGTTCCACCTCTTCACGTTTAAGCCACAACCGTGAATGATAATGGCCCAGCGGTATGACATCCATACCATATCACAACCGAAAAGGAGAGGCAAAGCAGAAATTTGCCTACAGAGATTCTAAGACAAAAAAGATGAATGAATGCAATGAGAAATTTGCCTACAGAGATTCTAAGACAAAAAAGATGAATGAATGCAAAAGATAACCTACCCAACACGACATCGGCAAGATTTGAACTTGCGCGTGGAGACCACAATAGATTTCTAGTCTATCGCCTTAGACCGCTCGGCCACGATGTCCTGATGAAAGGGCGGGGAATCTGGGACATCACGTCCTCGTGCTATGATGAGGGACTGGGAAGAAAGAAATGCAAATTTTGATACAATAAAACTAAATGTTTCGTCCAAAAGTCTTCTGTGGTGGACATCGGCAATAGAAAAATGCAATCATAGGGAAACAGCTTAATGCCTACATTTACAGAAATTGAAACCACGCAATGGGTGCTCAATGTCATGAATAACATTGAAATTTGTGAGGAGGTTTATGATTTGGAAAATACCTTTAACCAATCAGTAACAATGACAAAACACAAAGGACACAAAAAATAAATCCTTGGAAATATTTTCACGGTCTTGCAAATCCTTGAGGGGCGTTATATTAGGATGTGTGTAGAAAGAGGGAGCAATTGAAGAAAACTCCCAAAGAAAAAAGTTACCCCACATTTCACAATTTGATATGTCGTGCCCAAAGCTTCCAACTGAGTCTTGGGCTCTGATTGCGTCTTTTAACGTGGATTACACGTTCGCGGAGATCGTGACATTGAGTCAAGTTAGCGACAAACTGAAAGCTCTTACGGACCAATGCGTTACATTCAAGATCCAAACACCACCATAAAAAAAAAAATTCATGGCTCAGACAAATGTCATCAACAAACAATCAACAATATTTATTTTACAAAGAAACGGAAAAACGAAGAACAATAGAACCCAATCTAAAAATAACTCAAGAACATAAACTCAACGTCCTTTACTCTGTAAATATTGAAACACCGCCTCAGATACCCAATCTCCAGAGTAAAACGACGATCGTCTGGCCTCCTCCAAATTAACACGACTATCACCAAGAATAACCTGAAATAATAGACATTTCAAATTAATTTCTAATCACACAAAGCAAAAAAAAGAAAGGACAACCTCAAATAAATACTCACCTCCAAATCCCTACTCTGACTCGCAACCCACTTCTTCACAAAATTAACCGGATCCCTAGCAAAATTAACCATAAACTCCCTCTTCAATTTCGCCTCATGAACCCCAGCAACAAGTTCCGAAATCATCTCATCAATCTCCAAAATCTGCCGTTGCATCCCAACATCACCACCATTCAGTATCCTTGAAACTCGACTTGACTCTGGATCTTCAATATCAATAGGAATGTCGTATGCGGTTTCGGGGTTCGTGGCATCTTTGTCGAGTTTTATTGTGTATTCGATTTTTACGGGGTCTGGTGGGAGGAGTTGGGACATGAGGAGGTCCGGGATTTGGGTGAAGAGGACGCGGGGGTTTCTGAAGATCTGGATATTTAGGATGGTTGTTAACAATTAAGCAAGATTCGCGAGGAACATGTCAAGAAAACATACCTTCAACAAGGGTTCATTCAGATTGACGTATCTCTTGTCCTCAACATCTTGAAGCGCGTTGACCTACGATAAAGAAGCATAACAACAACCTCGTCAATTTTCTTCTCACACAAAGTATAACCAGTAATACTACAAGTCCCGACAAAAATCAAAAAATCCAAGAAAGGACAAACCTTAATATATTGCCACAAAGCCATCATAATATGTGACCTCAACCCAACATGAATATCCAACAAACTCGCGAGTCCAGGTTGAACTTTAAACATATCATTCCCATGATCAACGTACAATTCAATCGTAGCCTTAATCTCAACATCGCCGTTTCGTTTCACCTCAAATACGTCAAACTCGGGCGACGAATTGGTTTTACGCCACTAAATAGAAAAAACAGTGTGGGTTTTTATACGTAAGCGTGGATGAAGACAAGAAAGGGTAACAAAAAAACATTACCTCAATGATATTGCCTTCAGGGTAAACCGAGGTATCACGGTGTAAGGTAATGACAGCAGCACGAAGGAATTTTGATAGTTTTGAGTTTTCCAGTCCCTTTGGAGGCTATCATGTGTTAAAACGGATTGTTGACAATTCAACACTTGTTAAAAAAACAAAAAGAAAAACGCGACTACTCCCAAGAAAATAGTAAACAATACGTACATCCATCAGTTTCCCTTGAACTTTTAAAGTCCATGATGGTGGTTGAACTGCGGTAATATTAACATCAGGAACAGGATCGCCGTCACGGTATTGATTTGATGCCGTGTTGGATACATAGATGCGCAGATTTCGTTTAGTCTAACATGCAAAACAGCAGGTTAGTCTCATTTTTGTTTATTTGTGAAGAAGCGAGATATAAATACCTTAATAGGCTTGGCCAATGATTCCTGTACATCGAGACGCTTCCTCATAATAGTTGCATCAATGTTCTTTTCGACAGTCTGAAGCTCGTTATACAATCTTGCCTCTGGAATGAAATCTTCCAATCGTCTTGGAAGCGAAAGATCCATGGGTCTTCGTTTTCTGTTAACAAGCAACAACAACAACAAATCAACATCTTTTTTTCTTCGTTTTATATCAACAACAACAAACAAAGCATACTTTGACAAATGTTTAACTCCAAGTGCCTGACTTTCACTTCGCTTAAGGCCCCCGGGAGGAGGAGCCATTTGACCACCAGGAGCAGGAGGAGGAGGACCTTGAAATGATGGAGCACCAGCGCCAGCCATTTGTTGTTGTTGCTGCGCAGGGAATCCACCGGGAGTTCCACCAGGGAAACTTTGTTGCATTTGAAAGGCGGGTGGTGGTCTTTGCATTGGGTTTTGAGATCCAGATGAAGGAGGCATCTGGAACTGGTTTTTGTTTTTATTGTAGTGTTTGTTGTGAAGAATGAATGTTGGTCAGATCAAGAAGCAAGACATGTCAACAAAATATCATGGTTCATCCTTTATTCAATCTTACCATCTGCATGCTGTTGTTGGCATTTCCAGCCATTGGATTCATGGGCAACATGGCACCGGCATTCGCACCAGGTTGTTGAACAGGAGCGGATGATGATGGATGAGGATGGGGATGAGAGGGGGGGCGAGGTGTTCCAGCAGCAGCAGTTGGATTCCAGTTCATACTTTTGGACTTCAAATTTTTTTTTCAAATTTTTATGTAGATTTATTTTTTACCGAACGAACCAGTGCGTGACTTGTCAGACATCTTTCTTTTGCACCTGATCCTTCAGTAAACATTTACCCTTGGCTAACATACATCAACCATACCACCTCGATATAATGGAGTTCCTATCAAATGCATCCTCATCCTCATCAGAGGACCCATTCCGTCCATCCATATTCGAACTCGTCGCTCAAGACAAAATGAGTGATCTCCTGAAACCAGCTCTTCGTTATGCCCTTTCTGTATACGCCCACCGCTATCCTAGGCAACTCTTGCCAATCGTAAACAATCTAGAACATGTTTATGCATTGTTGATGCTGATTGTCGAAAGAAGTTATTTATTGGAATGGAGTGAGTCTTTTTTCTTAATCCAATGATCATTTTTGGTTTTACTAAGACTCGATTGTTTTACGGTAGATGGATCGTTGGCTGAAAACTTTTATGGATTGAGAAGAGTGCCGACGAGTGTTGGAGGACCATTGAAGAGAAAGAGTAAACGGCTTGGTGCAGCGCAGTTATGGGGATCATTAGTGTTCTTGGTAGCTAGTCACTCGATGTCTCAGTCATTCAATGCGTTTTGTTTGAGTCTAATGTATATCTTCCCTATTATTATAAGGTCGGTCTGCCTTACGCAAAAAGTCTTGTGGATGAGTATTATGAATCGATAGCTGGTGGGGCTGAAAGGCTGTTTGGAAGGCGAATAGCAACTACACCTTCAGACACTTCAAATCAGGTACATTCATTTCATCGTTTATTACAAACATAGTTTAACTTTTCTGATGATTCCGTATTTATTCAGGATCGTAACCTTCTTGACACTATCAAAACCTCAGCCAAACGCGGTTTCAAATCATCATACCCATACATCAAATCCCTTTATAACGCCGCTCTTCTGTACTATCAAGTTGCTTACATGTATGGATTTTCTGAATACTATACACCATGGTTAGCCATCTTAGGTTTACGAATCCGTCGTATGAGCCAGCATGATTACGTAAGTAGCTGCCATCATCGTCACTCTAAACTCATGTAAAATTTAAAACCACAGAGAGAACACGAAGAAAAGCAACAATCCCTTTCTCAACTCAACCCCTCGTCATTATCAACGTTATCCAAATTCCAATTCATCAAACAAATCATCAACATGACGGCTTCAAAAAGTCTCTCAGCATTAAAAATAGCATTGCCAATGTCGATTTTCTTTTTCAAGTTTTTGGAATGGTGGTATGCTTCAGAGTATCATAAGCAAATTGGTATTCAACCCATCCCACCACCGCCTGCTTTGATTCCGGTAAAGTAAACCGTGTTTTTCTTACTTCATAAAAGCCCAGTTACTGATTGCGGCTTTGTTTGATCTAATAAACAGCCCCATCCTAACGGTATCAAAGTTCCTGACGATACAAGTATTTGTCCGATTTGCTTAAAGACAAGGACAAACCCGACTTTGATTCCTTCTGGATATGTATATTGTTATCCTTGCATCTTTAAGGAGGTGGAGGAGCATGATTGTTGTCCTGTAACGTTGGTTAAAACTACAGTGGAGGATTTGAGAAGGATTTATTCAATGTCGTGATTCAGTTGTGCGTTTTTGTGGTTTGGTTTTGGTGTATATTTATGTGTTCATTGTTGGTGTTGCGAATATTCTTTATGGGTGTTTGTGCATACGCAAAAATGAAGTAAATGCATGAAAAATAAGGTTTCAGACACGTATTTTTGACACTTTTTAAATGGAAACATTTTGGGAAATAATATGGTTTACTAAATTCAACAGGCACCTTTTTGTTCTAGCAAGCAATTCTTGATTATTTCTTAATCTTTGCCAGTTCTGGTTCTTCTCTGAAAAGTCAATATGCTAAGGATTGGATTAAGGCGGAATGGTTCATCTGTCTGGTTAGGAGAGGAATTACATTGGACAGACGGACCGGAACAGAAGGAATTCAATGTTGGGAGATTTAAGTCCGTGTTTATATGAAGGTCAAGTTGAAAATGGATGGGTAGTAC